GAAGTTCACAATCAGTTGAGCCCTCTGTCTCTGAAGATGAACAAGACCAACTTCAGGGAAGACGATGACGTTGTTGTTGTGATTGTTGTGTGTCTACGGATTGTTGTTGTAATTTTTGATTTTTGTTATGAATTTTTTTTTTCTATTTCATAAAGTTTTGCTGGAAACGATGCGGGTGGGAGAAATGGAACAAAGAAAACCACTGGGATACTGATCTGCAAATTTTGTATTGTTTAGTAAAAATGCATTCCTTTATAGCCCATTTGTCCAAAAAATAAAGTACAGCTACTTCAAAAAAATGACACTGATCCTTCTGGGTCTTGGTTGGGCACATTTTTATCTTATGAAAATTTGGAATCATATTTTGAAAAACGACCTACCATCTTTAATAAATTTGTTTTTATGGAGAAGCTTTTCTAATTGAATTTGGTTTTCTGCCATGAAATGTGATATTCATACTTGAGATATTTGTTTAAAGGCACTCTTCATTGCAACCAAAATCCTATATTAAGGGGTTGGAGTAGCATATAAATTGTTTTGAGCATTCATTGATGTCATTTGTGAAGAGATAATGGTCCATTGACAATTGCCAGGGAACATTCTTTAGGGTTCCTCTGGTAAAGTTGTTCTGTAATGGCCTCTATCACCTTCTAGTTTTACAGACAAGTTCATTATCTAATAGATATTTTGAGGAAGTTTCGGATTAGCATACAATTGTTCGTGTTCATTGATTTCGTTTGTGAAGAGATCCCATTGACCAGGGTACATGCTCTAGGATTTCTGTTGTAAAGTTGTTTCTGTATTGTCCACTATATTGTTTTTTAATTACACAGATGAGTTCGTTCCGTGGTACACATTTTGAGGAAATCATTGGAGACCTGTAGTGTGAGCCGATGAAAAAAACAATAACAATGTTCTAAGACGGTTGTATTGGAGGCTTGTGTTACACAGTTGTTTATATGTTTTTTATTTTATTCGCATTATGAGTTTCAATGTCTTCAATTTTTCCACGTATACCATAATTGTTGTTGCATTGTAGTACGCAAATGGAGCAGTCCCAAATGCAGTCGACGCCTTCCAAAGCTTTGCGCAAACGCGGTAGTAAACAGACGCATCAGCAGTCCACAAACGTGCATAAAGCATCTTGGGACTCTGACACGGTGCGGATTTTTTTGGAACTTGTTATCAAAGAGTTGGACATTGGTTTCAAGGGGAGCTTCCATACAATGACAATGCATGGGTATCGAGCTATAAGCAAGGGCTTTCTGGACCGTACAAATAAGGTGCATGACGTCAAGCAGCTGCAGAACAAGTACGCGTTGCTAAAAAAGGATTGGCAGTCATGGTCGAAATTGATGGACAGCAGGCATGGGCCAACCGGCATCAGTTACAATGAAGCCACGAGTTTGATACAAGCATCTGACGACTGGAGGGCACATTACGAAAAGGTAACATTTCCATTGAGTTTTACGTACGTCATTTACATGGATACTTAAACCGTTAGTATTGTCAATGCTTAAGCTTATTTTCAATGGCGCGTTGTGTAGATTATTACGTACACCCTAGTTTTTTTAGTTGGGTCTAAACATAAATAATTGTGACATTTCGTACTGTGTCTCTAATTTAGCCTTGTGGATGTAGCCCACCACCATAGGAATCTCTAATTCATGTTATTATATGTATATAATAATTTAAGAAATAAAATTAGTACATGAAAATTGATTAGAACCTTAAACTAATAACATTTTGGACTGGGACTAGAGTATTATTTACCACTATCATGGAAATAATATAAAGAAAGAATACATCTTTTCTTTATCCTAATTTTTTTCCCCATTAGATTATTAACATTATTATTTTTCCATTATGCTTACTTAATTTGATAAATTACAAAATGGTTGATAAATGTGAATGATTCTTTGCTTTTTGGGAGGTCACAAAGAAGAACAAAAACTACTATTATACATCATCCTCTATTGGGACAAAAAAGTTAAGTGTTACTACATCTAGAACCATAGTCTCATATTTCAAACCACTATAATCATCTCTTGCCTTACATGATTATATCTAAGCCATATATTCAACTTACTACTCACTTTCTCTCCAAAATCCACTGAATTAAAAAGTACAACATTTCACTCACATTTTTTCCCCCTCTTTCTAAGTTACTTCTCTAAATTAATAATCTAAACACAATCTTAATACTTGTAAGAAACTTTAGACAAAATACTCGAACGACTCCCTCATAAGGTAGCCTATAAAATAAAATAATAAGTTAATCCGTTGGTTACGAGTTTATGTACCTTAATAAGAAGTTACAATTCATATCTCCTTATCAGTATAGAGGCCTTTCTTTTTGTATTTCTTTGAAATTTTTTTTGACCCGTACGTGTTGTTTGTTTATTACCTTGTATCTCCATTTCAATTTTTTACATAATATTTGTAATGGGGTCTAACTTCTCTGTTAACTGAAGAGAAGATTGAGTTCCGATGGGTTTTTGGTTGTTTTTCCCAGGTTGACAAGAATGCAATCAAGTTCAAAACAAAACCGTTGGAGCACATGGACCTCATGCGAAGGGTGTACGAAGGCGCTACAGCAACCGGAAAATATGCATGGACACCAGGTGCAGCGTTCGAACCTGTGGCACCTGATGACGGTACTTCGCAGGCGCCTGACGAAGACTGCGAGGACAGCAGCGGGCTGCCCCCTTTCCAGTCTACCGCGCAGCATGAACACACTGTGCAGCACACTGTTGCGCAAGAGGATGGCACGCCGGCAACCGTGCACGCTGCGTCGTCAGGAATTAACGCTGACGACACACCAACTGGTGGCATGAACAAACGCAAATCGCCAGGCCCAACACACCCACAGTAGAAAAGAGGGCAGAGTGAGGGAGCTTCTCTGTTGGCGAGTAGTATGGAAAACCTTGCATCCTCCGTGAAATTACAACAACGACAAATCCGCGTCTGACATGATTACGCAGATTCGACACAGCACCTAATTCAGAAGTGTATGACACGGTTGTATTCGCTGGAAGGGTTGGATCCGCAAGACCCGCTAGTTCCTTTTGCTCAATCGGTACTTGACAACCCTGCAAATCAAGCCATAATGATGTCGATTCCTATAGACACGGCTGTCATTGCTTGGTTGCGAACGAAGAAGTCCCGTGAGCAATGCATTGGAGGCCCATCAGCAGCAAATCCCGGAATGGGTGGTGGCTGGTTTTGAGATTTCCCAACAAATAATTTGTGTTTCCTTATTAATGTTTGTGTGTTGCTTCTTTATTAATGTTTGGGTGGTGGCTGGTAATGAATATTGATGTAATGTTTCTTATGTAATGTTTGTGTGTTGCCTTTTGTTTTTCTCCCCCTTGGAACAAACAGTTGGGCAAATATCCTTCCTTCCCAAAACGATGGCATTGTTGGTCGAATTTTTCGGACATTATTAGTTGATAATATTTGTGTGATGATGTTGATGTTGTAGTATATGCTTGTTGCTGCCAAATAGGTTTATTATCATTTCTTTTTGGTGAAACATAAATACATTATCTATAGACCATTTTGGATGAGTTCATTTTTGGTCACTTCAGTGATGGTGATGACAAATACATTCTATCGGCCCTTTTGGATGAGTTCATTTTTGGTGGTTCGGACCACTTTGTCAATCTCATCCATCTATAATTTGTTAAATTAATAACAAAAATTTTAAAATCAATCCGATATAATTTTATCACACGAGGTGAGATTCACCTTCACCTTTCTTGCTAGAGAGTTGTAAAGTTCGTATTAAAATCTATCATATTACAAAGTGAAAAAGTAAAATTTTAAATCTCAGTTAAAATTATTCAAATCAAATACATAATGTAATGGTTTGAAATTGTGAAAACGTAATATTTGAGATCTTAATCAAAATTAATCAAATCAAATATAATATACTAGTTTCAAATTAGTTTGAGTAATTTTTTTATTCCTTTTGATTAGGCGAGGAAACAATCTCCATAAACACAAGTCACTAGTTTTGGTAGGAAGTGCACGAAATTAGTTGATTACACATCAGGTTACTTTTTTAAAAAATTAAATTAAAATAACGAAAAGTTTTATACATATTAATAATTAAATTTATAATTTTTAGGGTCGTCCCGAAAAATAAAAACAAGACTTTTAGGGACAATTTTTAAAAGGTTATTAATAAATAGATTTTTTGGGACAAAATAATTTGGTCTAAAAAATTTTTACTTTTTGGGACAAAAAAATTGGTCAAAAAATGGTAATAATTTATCACTAATTTCCAATTTTTGTTGTTAAAAATATAAGGACGATATTCGAACCGTTGTTTTGTTTTTATCTATTTATTTATATTATAATGAACACTCCATTTTTATTAAACTAGGTGATGAAAAAATGACAAGTGAGGATTGGTTTTTGTTTTTCTTACATGTTTTGTCGACCCAGCACACAGTTTCATATACACCAATAATTTGGTATCTATTACCAAAAAGAAGAGAACCCCTTTTTGTTGAAGCCCCCAATAATTTGTGTGTTGCCCAATTTGCATGGACACCACGTGAAGTTGTTGAAATTTTGGTTTCAACGGTCCCACCACAATCTTGGTTTCAAAGAAGAGAATCCTTTCTTACGCATGCTCAATTTTTTGGTTTCAAAGAAGAGAATCCGTTTGTGTTGATTTGTTGAAATTTTGGTTTCAAAGGTCCCACCACAATCTTTGCGCATGCTCATCTTTGATTTCTTTATATAAGACCACAAATCAGTTGGCATGTTAGCTTCAAAGGTCTCACCACAATCTTTGCTCATCTCATCATTCATTTCTTTAGAGAACACCACAAATCAGTGTGGTTGTCTCCTTTCTTACCCTCGCCCCAATCTGCTTTTTTCATTGTCCAAAGTCGTAATAATTTTCTTGGTAGGCAGCCTTGTACTTGCGAAGTCAGATTTTGGTAAACTAGCTTGGCTCTGTATATTCTGCGTTATAGGTTTCCAAAATGGAAGACGACGCAGGTCCTAGTTACACTGTGCCCAGTAATGCAACCCGGGAAGCTATCGATGAAATTGCACGGGAAATGGTGGTCGAAACTGATCACAACTTCCTAGAGGCGTATAACAGTGTAGCTACATATTACTTCAACCATTATCACAGAGTGCCTCGAAATACATCCATACTTACAGGACATTTATGGATGTATGAGTTGTTTAACGGTCACCAAGGCCGGTTTGAAGATGCTGTCAGCATGTCCAAACAAGTGTTCTTGATGTTATGCGACACTCTTCATAGTTTCGGATTGACACTGCCACAGCGGGAGCATGGCGTTCCGCTAGAAGAGAAGGTAGCCATTTTCATTTGTGCATTGCAGGGAATGAAGATGAAAGATTTGCAAGAACGGTTCCAACACTCGAAGGAGATATTGTCACGGCATTTTCATGAGGTTTTGAAAGTTATGATACCGTTCACAGCGGTTCATAGTAGGAGTCTTACGCCTAAGCAAGTGCAACATGGGGGCCACCCACAATTACAATCGCAATGGCGATACCGGCCATTCAAGGTGAGACTGTTTCACATAATTTTAAATATCACAGTGGCGACATATACCATGAATTTTTATTTATATATTCTGCGTAATGGTGCGTTGTGTAGGACTGCATCGGTGCACTAGACAGCACGCACGTGATGGCTCGTGTCTCGGAAGAGTACGCCACTTCGTATTACGGCCGGAAAGGCATCCCAACACAGAACATACTGGCCGTATGTGACTTCGATTTGTGCTTCACGTTTGTGTCAGCCGGTTGGGACGGGAGCATGCACGACAGCAGGGTGCCGCACTACGTGACAACCGAACCTAAACATCGCTTCCCGCACCCCGCACCTGGTAAAAGTATATCTTACGTAACAAAGTAGTATAATCTGAAAATAATATAAGACAAATTACACATTTGTACTTGCTATCATAATTGAGAACTTACCAAAAATAGATAATATCATGTAAAAAAAAATTGACGCAAAATTATTTTTCTCAAAGAACTTGTTTGTAAAAAAATGTTCGTTGTAGGAAAATACTACTTGGTGGATAGCGGCTATAGCAACAAGACAAGGTACCTAGCCCCATACAAGGGATATAGGTATCACCAAAATGCTCATCGAAATCGAAGACCACAAAATGAGTTCGAACTATTCAATAAGGTACATTCGTCATTGCGTAGTTGTATCGAGCGGACATTCGGTGCGTGGAAGTCGAGGTGGGGGGCATTGCGGAATATTCAGAAGTTGAGTTTCTCTAATCAAGTGATCTTCGTGTGTGCGTCGATGGCGTTACATAACTTCATACGCCGAAACAGTGAAGTTGATGAGGTCACAGTTCCTATCGCAAATAGCACCGAATACGTGGCTCCCGAAATGCCCGACCATGATGAATACGCACGGGTTGCGGATGTGATTGAGGAAGGGGACTCCGACCCTGTAATGACAGTTGTACGAGCGAACATTACGTACCAACTAGCCCAGCAACTGAACACGAATAATTGAAACATTAATGTTGGTTAAATTTGTAATGTGTGTAACTCAGATCCGTCGCAAGATTATTATCATGGTTTGTTAATGTGTTTTGTATTTCTAAATTTGTAATACTTCACAGCAGGAAGTTGATAAAGTTTTGTATCCAATTTTATGCTACATATGTCCAAAAAACACTATTGAAAATGAAATGAAAAGAATAAAATAAAAAAACTTGGTTGAACAACTTAGAACGGCACTGGGCATAATAAAAAAGGAAAAGAATAAAAAAAATTACAAAAAAAGCAATAAAAAAAAGAATGAAACCAAATTTGTTAAAACGAAAACAATAAAAGTGAAAAGAAAAGAATTTTAAAAAAAATTAAAAGGAAAAGAAAAAAAAGTAATGAATAAAAAATGAAAACAATCAACAAAAATTTACACCTAAAAAGAAAAGAATACAAAAAAATGACAAAAAAAGGAAAATAATAAACCCAAATTAATAATATTAAAAGGAAAAGAATAAAAAATAAAATATAAATGTGAAAAGGAGAAGAAAAAAAAAAAGGAAAAGAATGAAAAAGAAATATTCACAACAAAGGAAAAGAAAGAAAACAAAAATTATAACGAAAAGAATGGGAAAAAAAAATTGAATAAAAAAATGAAAAAAAAAATATTAAAAGGACAAGTACCGACTACAGGAAGAAAAAAAAATGTTAAAAGGAAAAGAATGCAAAAAAAAAAAAAAATGAATAAAAAAGGAAAGAAATAAAATAAATAATAATGATAAAAGGAAAAGAATTAAAAAAATACATTCTTTTAAAATGGAAAATAATAAAAATAAAAATGTTAAGGAAAAGAAAAAAAAATTGACTCCAACGGAAAAAAAAATTAATGACAAAAGGAAAAGCATGATATTAGACAAATTATGAATAAAGAAAAAAAATCAGTTGCTTTGACTGTTGCACAGTGTTGAAGGAAATGAAAAAAAATATTTAAAAATTATACGTTGCACAGTGATTGTCACCACAGACCTACAGTCACGCTTCCCAACGGTGACACGTACGCATGAGATTGTGTGTTAGTTAGGATGGGTAAAACAGTCATTTTACCATGTTAACTAATATTATATTACACAACTTTTTATAAAAAGTCAAAAATTTATTCCAAACAACTATCTTTTTTCTCTCAATTTTTTAGTCCAAAAAGATAAAAAATACACTTATTTAGGACACCCCAAACAAGCCCTAAATTTGTAAAACTACAATAACATAACTATTGTTGTTAGATCAACTTAATTTTTTCGTATGAATAGTTTTATTAGTATGTTGTACAAAATCAACGATTTAATTCATCAAAATGAGTCAAAATTAGTTTGATAATGAGTCAATTTTACTGTAAAATTGAGATTTTAATTTTAACAAATCCGGGTTGATGAATAAAAATGTTTGGTTTGGTGTGAACAAATAGAGAGCATGTTGTCACGTACCGACTTATTGATAATGCGAGTTCTACACCAAGCACCATGCAAGTACATTAATTTGTGAGCGGCAAGACAGGTAGGGTAGATCCCTATCGCATATCACTTGGGTTGGTCTTTGGGCATAATGCACAGGGGTACCACTCATAGAGTCGGCTTCTCGGGAGGATGACAAGCGTCCCGTCCATGACAAGTTGGCTTCTCAGGAGGATGATAAGCACCCAGTCCGTAACAAGTGGTATCAGAGCCAGCCTAGGGCACTGTGATGGGGACAGTATGTAGACTTACACTAAGCACCTTCATTGTGGTATCCGCACCAAGGGTGGTGTCCGCGCAGGACGGGTTTCCCATGGGTAGGGAAGCGGACAAGCATAGAGGTAGGTAAGGTAATGTCCCTTGACGAGGGCGTGAGGGAATGTCAGTGGTAGCATGTTACGTACAGACTCATTGTTAATGCGAGTTCTACACCAAGCATCTTGTAAGTGCATTAGTTTGTGAGCAACAAGGTAGGTAGGGTAGATACCTATCGCATCACTTCAATTGGTCCTTTGGTATAATGCACAGAGATACATAGGGGTGTTTGGCAACTTAGGTTTAGGCTATTTTTTTGCTAAAATTCATAAAAGAACAAAATATGTTAAAATAGTTAATAAGACAAAATATCACATCAAATCCATAATCATTTCACTTTTTCTCTCATAAACGTCACATCTAATTTAAAAAAAATCCAATCGTCTTCCCAAACACAAAAATTTTAACCTACTAAAATAGCCTATTAAAATAACAACTTTCCAAACACCCAAGGGCGGGCCATGGCCCCTGTTTCTATGAACATTATTGTTTGTCATAGAATTTTAAATATATATATATATATATATATCATTTTATATATAAAATGGCTCCTCAGTATAAAAAATATATTTGTCATTCTTCTTTTATCTTGAATTATCTTTTTATTTTACGTGAAAAAGAAAACTTATTCATCATATTACAAATTACTTCTATGATATTTAATTTTTTTTTATGTATATATAATTTATATATCATATATATGGGCGTTGTTTAAGTGTGCAACCCCCTTAAGGTTGCACACCATATGCAACCCAATTGTTAGCCGTTAGATTACAATAATTGATCAAGACCATTGAATTGTTTAATCATGAAAAAGTTAAAACCGGGGTAGCCGGTTAATGCTTGTATTTGCATGATTGCATCCCACTCACTCTCTGTATTTCGTCTCTATCTCTCTCTGTTCTCCTCTCTATGTAAGGTTGAGTCAATGTAACCCTTGATTTCCATTAACAGCGAGAAGCCCCTGTTGGGTTGGTTCCATTGATGAAGCTCTGTAGGGAACAGTATAACGGGCGATTTTCAACAACAACGGAACTACAAGGCTATGTTGGTTCCATTGCTAAAGTGAAGCCCTTCTCTCCAATTAGATATGAGGTATGAAGCTGTCTCCCTCTCTCTGTCTCCCCCTCTCTCTCTGGCCTCAACACTTCAGCTATTTTCCCTCAACTAAACCCCCATCCTAACTTCAACCGCTCTACGCTTCGCTCAAACGGAAACCGCTCCATTGGCAACTAACCTTTCTCTTTCTCAAGCGAGTGTTTGTGTTTGCACAAACAACTAAACCGTGTGAAAATGTCATGTTTGTGTTTGTGTTAACATTTTTCGGTCATCAAGTAATTGTTTCTACTAATGTCATGTGCAGTATGGCTCCAGCGGAAGTTAAAAGGGAAGGTGATGATTATGACATTCCAAATGAAGCAGATGACATTCGTTTGATGAATGAAAGTCGGGCAGAATCTTATCATGGTTGCGAAGCTGGTCCGAGCAATGAAGAAGCAACCAACATGAATGTTGAAGATGGCAGAGCCGATGTGAAAAAAGAAATGGTTGACGATGTTCATCGCAATGACATGGTTGGTGATGTTGAACGTGCTATTCTAGAATAGAAATTTGATTCGGTTGAAGATGGAGAAGCTTTATACAATGCGTATGTTAAAGCCATGGGATTTAGTGTACGAAAATCCAGATTTAACACAAATAAAGAGGGAAAGGTTGTTAGTAGGCTCTGGTTGTGTTCAAGGGAAGGTCAAAGATTACCAAAATACTTGGACCGTGTTGCTGAGAACGATGTGAAAAAAGAAATGGTTGACGATGCTCATCGCAATGACATGGTTGGTGATGTTGAACGTGCTATTCTGGAACAGAAATTTGATTCGGTCGAAGATGGAGAAGATTTCTACAATGCGTATGCTAAAGCCATGGGATTTAGTATACGAAAATCCAGATTTAACACAAATAAAGAGGGAAAGGTTGTTAGTAGGCTCTGGTTGTGTTCAAGGGAAGGTCAGAGATTACCAAAATACTTGGACCGTGTTGCTGAGAAGAGTAGAGCTCCCAAGGCACTAACAAGAGTAGGTTGCAAAGCCTAATTTCGCATACGGTACGATGCAGATACTGGTGAAGGGGGAGAGTATGTTGTGACTCACTTCGTCGCAGACCACAACCATGGATTGGTGGAACAACACTGTGTGATGTATCTGAGGTCACATCGCAGTTTAAACAGCGTTGACAAAGCTCAAGCAATGGCTATGTGCAACGTCGGTGTGAAGACTAGCCAAATCATGGACTATATGGTAAATCAATCCGAGTCTTATGAGAATGTTGGTTTCATCTGTACGGATCTGCACAACCATATTTAAGTCGAACGTAGAGCAGAAGTTGAGGATGGTGATGCGTAGGGTGCGTTGGTTTACCTATGTGCAAAACTTGATGTTGATGCACATTTTTTTTACAAGTATGATGTGTGTAACGATAACAAGTTACAAAATTTGTTCTGGGCAGATTCAAAATCGTGGGCCGACTACGCAAAGTTTGGTGATGTGTTGATATTTGACTCAACTTACAGAACCAATGCATACAAGAAACTTTTTGTCATGTTGGCTGGTGTGACTAGCCACTTTAGGACCATCATATTTGCATGTTTTTTGCTAGCTAATGAGACAATTGATACATACAAATGGGTTTTAGAAACATTTATGGAGGCGATGGGCAATAAAGCACCTGTGTCCGTACTGATAGATGGGGATAAGGCGATGTGAGAGGCAATTAGAAGAGTATTTCCAGACGCAAGACATCGATTATGTAATTGGCATCTTGAGAAAAATGCTGTTTCAAATGTTCACAAAAGTGGCTTTGCACATGCTTTCAAGCAGTGCATGGACATAGAAACGGATGAGACAAAGTTTGAGCATGACTGGACGACAATGGTCAAAAAATTTGGACTTCAAACCAACAGTTGGGTGTTGGAGACATATGAGAAACATTATATGTGGGCTGAGGCATATATGTGTGGACATTTCTTTGCTGGGATGAAGAGCACTCAGCGCTCGGAGAGTATGAATGCTTATTTCAATCCCTTTCTCCAACACAAATTGAAGCTATATGAATTTGTTAGGCACTATGATCGGGCTCTTGCAAGGATAAGGTATAACGAGGCTGGAGATGATGCTGAAACAAATAACACTTTTCCGGTATTGATTACTCCATTGTAAGATATAAAGAGACATGGAGCTGAGCTATTCACCCGAAATATATTTAGAATGTTCCGTGATTAAATCTTATAAGAGGGGAAGTTGAATGTTAAGGGCGTGTTCCCTTTGCCGGATGGTCAGAAATGCTACTATATTCATAAGTACAAAGTGAAGGATATATCATGGATATTAACACACAGTCCAGTGGATGCTGCAATGAGATGTTCTTGCATGAAGTTTGAGTCATTGGGGCTACCTTGCTGTCACATGATATGTGTTATGAAAGCCAAAAATTTAACGCAAATTCCCCCAACTTGTGTGCTGCATAGATGGACAAGGGCTGCAAGCAAGGATGGCCAGCAATGGCCTCAACCCTCAATTGATAGCACTACAACACAGACGGCCCGGTATGGGATATTGTGTTCTTCCTACAACGAAATGTGTTTCTATGCCTCGCAATCAACAGAAGGTTTCAAAGAGGCTAAGGATGCATGTCTTCCGATGACGAGCCGGATAAAGGAGTTATATGAGAGGAATAGGGATGCATGTCTTCCGATGACGAGCCGGATGAAGGAGTTATATGAGAGGAATTTGAACGGTGGGAATGGAGACAAAGGGAAACATTCATTCCGTCGACAATTTGGAGTGGAAGATCCTGATGTTGTGAAGACAAAAGGGAACCCGGGACGGGCCTCGTCCAACTGTCGAAGACCAAGAAAATGTGGCAATTGCAAATGCATTGGGCACACAGAGCGAACGTGTCCTAAGGTTCGGTTTAGCCGAATAGTGGGTAGTAACTCAGATGCAGATACAACCTACAAAACTGACCGTGAGTACAATGCGGAGTCATTGCCCGTTCGCTGCAAAACTGGGTTGGTGGATCCAAGTACACCGCACATTAAGCAACAACAACTATTTTTCGATGCTTCTCCTGATTCCAAGCAGCCTGTAGGCCAATACGGTAGTGTTGAAGCAGCAGTGTGCAAAAATGATTCGACCACAATTGATGAGGTGAATCAGGTAATTGTATAATTTGTATGATTTACTTATTCCCTTAATTTATTAGGTAGACAGTACTAGCTATTGAAAACACATGTAAATAATGTATGTAGTTTTCATTTTAAATTGCTGTACGTAATGTGTAAATAATTGGTTACGTACAATGCTAGGAAATGGCACAACGTTACTTATGTACAAGGCCACGAGTTGTAAATTTCCCATATTGTTTAGAGTGATGTTGTCATTTGTGTTTGCAGTGACTTGTCATTTTGAAAACTAATTGAAGGTGAGATATATATGGGTTGTCTGTGTATTGTTTTGGGTGGGAAATTCGCTTATGTCTATATTCCAAGATTCCTATTGCGGGTTGCTTGTTTCTGTTCCATATTTGGTTGGATCTAACTGAAGCATTTTTTGCAGTGTGGTTTATCAACTAACGATGCGTTTGGCTTCGTATTGATTTGTTATGTCTTGTTTCCGTAAATTAGTATTATATTTTGAGTAAAATATGAATTTTGTCCATGTGGGTTTGCAAAATTACATCCCAGCACATGCATTTTGTATATAATCCAAGTGGCAGTTAATTTTGGGTGTTACCTGGAGAAAGTAACCCAACGAAATCGTTACTTTATCTCCATGCCGATTGCTATATGAATTACGAGTTACGAACAGGAGTTGTGAAATTATTTCATGTTAACTATGAAAGTGATGGGTTTATTGTTAGTAAAATTATGGTGGGCCTATATCCACAGCAACGAAGCAGTAATTTAAAGTTGACAAGTTAAAGAAGAAAATCAAGCAATTGTGGTATTGGTTCGAATGCCTGAAAAGGATGAAGACTTCTTTCGATGAACTGATGGTAACAAAGTAGAAAGTAACAAAGTACAAAGTAGAAAGTAGAAAGTAAGTTGTTGTGCTATTGTGTTGTTTGTAACAAAGTAGAAAGTAGAAGGGAAAAAACTACTCAGAAGTTATAATGTAGAAAGTAAGTTGTTGTGTTGTTCATGTCCTCTCTCTCTGCAAACATTATGCCTTTTATAGCTATTATTTCCCACGACCCCATGATCTGCCGATTCTACAACTGCTTTTGTGCAACTTCTGTAACTGCACGGTCATTTTCGTGTCTTGAAACCACATAAAACCTTCACTTGTACCTGTTGAAGTGCATATAGTTGAAGTTGCCACCTGTGCCCAAGTCCTTTTAGCTTTTCCTCGACAGATACATACTCCCAATTCGCGAATGCTTCCTCTTTGAGGGTAGCCACTAAATCCATGATCAGTGCCAGTAACTGCTCCACCATGTAAGTCAGGTGGCATGCAAGATTCAATGTTAGTTGATAACCCTTGTCTTCAGGTGGACTTGCCATATGTCCTCAATTGAATGGGGCACCTGTTGGCAGGATGTAGGAAAAATAAGTGGAAAGAGGAATTTTTAAAAAATAACCAATCATAATTTAGCTGAAAATATGAGTGAACTTTAAAAGAGAAAAAAAGTAGTTTCCATTTTTATGATTATAAACCCGAAATGTATATTTTGTTTTCAATATAAATAAGTTGTGTATTGTGGTTACGTAAAATGGAGGACAACAATTGTGTTTATGTCATGACAGTGCAAAAAAACGGGTATTTCAAATATTAACAAGTTTACCAACATTGAATTTATTGATTAAATTACAGGAAAAATTCAATATTTGGCAGGGTTTGAAGGTTCAAAGGCAGGGGACAGTTACAGTGAGTGGCCTAGTGTTATGGTTCAGTGGCCCAGTTTGCAAGGATTGTGGTTGTGTTTAGTGGACAATATTCTGTCGATTATTGTGTCATAATGATGAGGGACATGCGGCACAATAGTGAAAAGGAAAATTGACAGGAAAGAGTCAATATTTGGTAGAGTTTGAAGATTCGAAGTCAGGG